CTGTGGACTACTGAACCACAATATTTTATGGCTAAAAATTCTAAATGTCCATTTCAGTTATTTAAATAATTTACTTAAAAAACAACTACTAGAAAATATACAATTTTCAGCAAAAATCACGTTTTGTATTTAAGTATGTCAGTGCTTGAAAGCCACAAATGCAAAATTGTAAATCATCTGTAAATAATAAAAAAACAAAAAATTAATGATATAGCCCACACAATAAAAAAATATATATGGATGAAGTGGGTGGGATTCGACGCTTGGACGGTTGTTGGTTCCGAAATTGCGTGCATGTTTTCTGTGCTTTTTTGATTGAAAGAGGAAATTATTTATTTTTGCTTTAAAAATAAATTAAATGTTTATAAATCGTTAAAAAATTGTAAAGAGTAGTGGTTAGGGTATTACAAATGTCACAAATCGAAATGTGTGAGTAATCGAGGGTTGGGGGTATTACAAGTGTCACATTTCCATAGTTTATTTAATACATTACAAACATCATTATTATATTTTCTGTTTTTCATGGAAACCAAAAACTAATTTCTTTTCTGTATTTTTCCAACTTTACGTCAGCTATTCTTGGCGCTAATGACGATATTAAGCTGAATTTTTAACCACCCCCAACTCCAACCCCGAAAAAACAGTAGTTATCATTTTTATTGTCTGTTGCCATTAAAGGAGGAGAGGCGGTACAACACTTTAATCAAGCTACCCTACTAAAAGCCTTTTGAATACCCACCCTCGAACCGACATTTTTTATGAACCTATTGATATATTGAGTAAATAAAAAACAACAACAACATCAGAATATTCCAATGACTATAATATGTTAAGCATTTGCCACTGATTGCCCTCGAACACGACATGACGACAGACAAACACGCCATGACAACAACTTTGATGATTAGTCATACAAAGTGTTTTATTTTTCTTCTTTTTTTTCAATGGTTTGAGGTGATATATTCGGCGCCAATCGACAAGGACAATCAACGAGAATGGTAGAAAATCTACAATTTTAATACCACCATTTAACGGGGGGAGGAATGTGAAAGAAAACAAAAGGGAATAATAAAATAGAAACAAAGTAGTTGGGTATATGGCAGGAGTGGGAAGGCTGTGCCGATTGATGTTCACTTGTTTCGTAATTACAGTAATTTCCAATATTTCCTATGCGGAATACACAAAATATCTAGTTTTTTGGTGAGGTCATACAGTAATGAAGACAAAAGAAAATGTTAAATGCCAAAAGTAAAACAAAGACTAAAATTCTATATACCTCATATACATCCTCAGTCCCCGGATTTGAATCGTATAGAGAATTTATGGAGTATTTTGGAGAAATATATTAGAAGCCATAATAATTCAAGCATACCAAGTCTGAGAAATGATTTACAAGTGAATGGGGAAAAATTCAGACATCTTACACAGAAAACTTGGTAAAATCTATGTCGGCAAGGTTGAAAGCTATAAAACATAAGAAGGGATATCATATTTAGTATCAACCATCCAAAATAATCGATTTGTAAAAAAATTATCTTGGATATTTTTCACTGTGAGGCTGAAATTACAATTGCCAAGTGGATAATTTTGACTGTAACTCACTGTATATTTGTTTTACTTTGTATGTAGCTTGTATAAAATTATAAACAAATGATATTGAATGTATTATGGGTCAAAATATTTTCAACTATTTTTGTTTGATTACTTTGTAGAAAGTCCTATTGTCTGAGATCTACAGCATCGGACAAAACTTTTGCCATACATTTAAACTTGGTTTTGTGAGTTTAGGTTTCTTATTACGTCAGTAACAACTTAATAAAATGTATAAGTACTGTTTTTGCAGTATAGTACGGGAATCGACCTATTATTACCATCCTACAAAGAAATTTGAATACTTACAATTTATGTATCAGCAGCCACGAGAAATGACAAATGAACCGATGCGTTAATTGTAAGAACGATTCAAATTTGTTGCACCATTGGTACAATAATTATATATTCTGGTAAGCACTAGAACTGTTTCTCGACGTCTTATCGATGCTGATTTGTTAGCTTATCGGTCAACCAAGAAGTCTCCCAATAATCAATTGGAACTAGAGATACATATACCAGCGAAAATTTTTGTCTATATCCAAAAAATATATCCAAACATTTTTGTCTATATCCAAAAAATCGATTTTTAGACATTTCGATTCCAGCCGTTGACTAAAAAGTAGATTTCTCAATTTTTACCGACTAAATTTAAAGTCGACTAAAATTTTATTTTTTACATGAATTGCTGTCAATAAATGAAATTAACTTCTGGAATGTGTAATTTTTGGACAATTGGGGTTTGTGATAATAAGTCAAGTCGACCTTTAAAAGTCGACTATATGACTACTACAAAGATCAAAAGCCGATCAATACAAAGCGTCGATTAGTCGAAATTCGACTTACTTATCCCTATTTATTAGCTTATATCATTGATGCTCAAAGCTTCCCAAAATCATACGTTAGCGTAAATGTTAAAAAATGCAGTTTCATTTATTCACTTTTCCTCAGTCATTTTTGGTGATGAATCCTCAGTTACGCTCACCTACATTTACTCTCACATAGTTATGTCCACCACTGGTTTATATGTCAGCTAAGAAGTCTCTCATATCTAAGCGTGATCAATAGGAACACTGAAGCAATGGAAAAACTTTATCCTCATTGATGAAACAAAATTCAATATTATTGCTAGTGACATGCCTGACCTATAAAAACATCCTTGAGCAGTTTATTAGAGCTGGATAGTTCCGGAACTAACTAGTTCCCAGAAAGGAACGTTCGGAACTAGTTCCAGCTCTTTAATTAATATAGTTCCTTTTTCTGACCACGTTCCTTTTTTGATTTCATTACTTTTCGAACTCTTTTTTTCTGGACTCGTTCCTTTATACCCATATTCTTCATTCGATCTCTTTCGTATTTTAATAGGAAACTGCCGTTGATTCCACAAAACAATGTGGAGTTGTACTGTTTACGAACGAACTAGTTCAAATGAACGATTCTCTGGAAAGAGCGATTGAAGTTGGTCTTACAAAGTCGTTATTTTTAGTTCATTAAAATTGCATTTACATAAGAACTTGTTACCGGGTTAACCTGCATTATGAGGATTTACTTGGCATATATTCAAAGGAATTGAGCTATTGAACAAGGCAGCACACCGTGATACGTAATAAACCCCGAAATTAGTAAAAACTTGGTTTAGATAAGAGGGGCATCCTTTTATAATATAAGTAATCTAAATTTTTGAATTTAAATATCCCTTAACTTTTATTTGAACTAACTTTTATATTGTTTTGTCCGATACTGTACTTAGAAGCTAAGACTTATTGATAAGATCGCATAGGAGCGAAAAGAATCTGTTTTATTCCAGTTTTTTTTTCAAGCAGCACCTCAACATCGGGTAATGTAGAGAGTGTCAAGTACATCCAATAACGCCCGCCTGTCAAGATCTATTAATAAGTCAGTTAGCCAAAGTCAGCTGTTCTCAAGTCTAATGTCAAACATTTGGACTTTTGTTTGCGTTTTCATAAAGGAAGTCAATTCACAGTAATGGATTTTGACAGCAAACTTGAGAAACAGCTGATATCCAGCTGGTCTCCCTGAATGACTTAATTAATAGGCATTGATCTCCGTGTAAAAGAAGAACTTGGTTCAATGCGAACTAGTTCTTCTTTCCAGGTGGCTGTGACACACACAAAACACAATTTATATTTCCATTTGTTTTTTATTATTATTACTAATTCAATAGTACTTGTGAATGCTTCGCTATGGTTTAATGAGTAATTGTGTGCATCATTAATTCATTCATTAAAACAAAGTTTATTTTTTGTTCGCTTTCAATTCGATGGCTTATCAGTTATCCCAGGCATTTATTTACGCTTTCCTGGGAACTTTTCACATTGTGTTGATAATTTTATTAATTTGCTTATCTTGTTCGTAATTTATTTTGTATTTTCCAGACAAAGCTCAGTCATTTGTTTGCGATCAAAATTGTAAATAAATATATATTTATAGATTTTTTTCCCAATATTGAGCAAAGTAAACAAATAATGTGGTGAATGAATTGAAATGTTTATTTTCAATATAAAAAATAAAAATATTTATTTTTAATTTCGACTGCTTGTGAAAGAAGTTTTGGAAATATTATTTATTTATATTTATAAAAAAAAAAGAATTCAAATGTATAAAATAGTGTTTGGAATCATATAATCGGTACTGAACTAGTTCTTATGGGACCAGTTAGGGACTAGTCTGTTTGTGTTAGATAAGGGTATGATCAAGATCTATTAATAAGGTCAGAAACTATGCACTTTGACAGTTAATCGGATAGTCAGCTGTGCTATCTATTTATTTTGCCATATATAAGGGTATGGAGTAAAGTGGAATTTGTCACTGCTATACCGGGAAGATGACTGTTATTTACATAAACTCAAGGTATGTGTAAACGATTAGTGTGCATTTCAGGATTTCATTAATCTAGTCGATTTAAAATCATATACCCAAATTCACTTTTAACGGAAGTGTGCATTATAACTTTTTACCGAGTTAACCTACTTCATGAGGATTTATTTGACATATATGCAATGTAATTGACAATTTAAACCCACTAGATTTACAAAATCCAATCCAATGTAAAATACTATTAGTTTCGTTGGGAAGAACCTTGAAGTAAAATTATGTTTGTCCTATTAAATTTCTGTAGTAAAACTTTACAAATATCAGAAACGATATTGGAGTAAAAAGTTACGAAACATTTGAAAATTAGAAGATTCTTGCAGGTTCTGGAACAGAATTTTGTGTATATGTCCAAATATTTTGTAATAAAAAATTAAATATTTAAATCGTTTTTTTTTCGGCGTTTCGTTTTATACATTCAGTTACGTTTTACAAATTCTTAATTTTATTTAAAATGTTAACAAAATAAATGTATATAAGATTTTTATAATTAAATTTAAATGCATATTTGCACTTACCCCAACTGCCACCTGTTCGGCCCAGACATTGGCTAGTATCACTGTTCCACAGAAATTTCTTGAAGCCTTCCCATTTGCCCATTTTGGGTGGTGGCGCATAATATTGTTCAGCAATCTTTTTATCGGCCATTTTTGCGATTTGTTTGTGTGTGTTGGTTGGTGTTTACAGGGAGGAGTTTTAAATTAACTTTTTGTTGTTAAAGATGCGTTGAAAGTTTTTCTTGTTGTTGTTTGATTTACAAAAAATCGTTATTTATTTAATTTTTTTTGTGGAAGGTTTAGTTTTTTTGTGGTTATGATGTTTTTTTTTTTTGTTTTTAATTTTAAATCTTAAATATTCGTATAACAATTAATTATTGAATAATAATATTGTTGCGGTTTTTGTTGTTGTTGCTGATGCTGCAATGTCCTTTTAAATATCATAATCAACTGTGGTGTTGCAAAAACATGTTGACAGCTCTTGTTGTTTGCTTGCTTGCTGTTGTTGTAAGGGGGGCTTGTCGAGATGTTTAGGACTTCGAGTAGTTGACGTTGGGCGATATTTTGTGAAAATGCTGTGTGTTGTTTTTTTACACTTTTTGTCCTATGGTGCGTTCCGTCGTTTTATTTTAATACTTTTTTTTTTGTAATTTTTTTATTGGTTGAGTCTAATGATGACACCTAAAAGTTAAAAGGAAAGTGAAGGAATGCGAATTAGCAAGAGGTTAGAATATAAAAAATGAGGGAGAAATGAGGAAAATTTGGAAAAGAGTTTGATAAAATATTGTATTTAACACTTGGCTTGTAAAGTTGCACAGAAAATACAAATACATCCCGATGAGTTGTATAGAAAACAGCTGCTGCATATTTTCAGGCTGAAATCAGGCGGTGCATATCTGATTCTGATATAATATCTAATCGGAAATATCTGTAAAAATTACAACTAACCCAAAATTTTTTACATTTTTAGTATTTATATGGTAAACAAACTTAAACTTTGAATGTAGTCGAGAAAACTTCTCGAAATATCTTGATTTGGAAAGAAGAATGCCTTAGCTGATTATCTGGATAATTATAAGTAGATGTCCCTCACCAAATATCAAAGATATTCGGAAAAAATTCAACTAACCCAAAATTTCCAACTTTTGGTATTTCTTCGGTAATCGATTTCTAGAGGTCATAACATTGAGCGCAGTTGGGATAACTTCTCGAAATAACTTGATTTTGAAAGAAGAATACCTTGGCTAATAATCCAGGCAATAATATATTGATGGCCCTAATCAAATATCGGAAATATCTGTAAAAATTACAATAAACCCAAAAAAATTTAAATTTTTAGTATCAATTTTGAGAAGTCATAACTTTGATTGTAGTTGAGATAACTTCTCGAAATAACTTGATTTGGAAAGACGAATGCCTTAGCTGATTATCTAGACAATTATATGTAGATGTCCCTCACCAAATATCGGAGATATTCGGATAAAATTCCACTAACCCTAAATTTCCATCTTTTGGTATTTCTTCGGTAATCGATTTCTACAAGTCGTAACATTGAGCTCAGTTGGGATAACTTCTCGAATTAAGTGGATTTCGAAAGAATAATGCCTAAACTGCTTATCAAATCAATAATGTTTTGATCTCATTCATAAAATTTCGGATATATTCGAAAAAATACCAGTAACCTAAAGTATCCAACTTTTAGTATATCTTCGGTAATCGATTTCTTCAGATCATAACTCTTGGTGCAGTTGAGATAACTGCACGAAATAAATTGATTGCAAAAGAAGAATACCTTAGATAATAGTCCAGACAATAATAAGCAAATTCATGAGATCACAACATCCAAAATAGTCTATGCATTCGAGTGAATTTATTTGTTTTTGAATAAAAGATATCAGAACTCTAATTGGCTACCAGTATTATCGATATATCGCCAAGGAATAAGTATATTTTAGCACTATATTTTTCCAACGAAAAAAAAACTCTTAGATTGTTTTCTTATTGCAAAAAAGTTTAGTTTTGTTTGAGTTCCATAAGTGCCAGCCTCAGCAATAAATAAAAATATATATAAAAATGAATCGGTTTTTTGTAAGGCAGCGCTGAGGAATTACTATTGTAAAAGCAAATCCGTGTAGCATAACCCGAGGGGAACTGCTATTGTAATCAAGTAAGGTATACTTTCAGGCTGTAAATAATTATATGTCTTTAAATGTCGGGGCGAGGCAATATTATATTGTTATGCATATTATTTAACAGCTTGAGGTTTTATGTTATAAAATTTGTTGGCAGGAGGATGGTTTCTATATCCATTATTTAGATAACATATTTTCAAAATGTCCTTTTCCGAAATTATGACGAAAAAATTTTTAAGATAAAAAATATACTTCTTATTTCCGCAACATTTACAATCCATCTGTTAAGGTTAGGGAGAACAAAAAAAATATATACATATATATATATGAAGGGTATAAGGAAAAAGGGGCGAGGGTTTTAGAGGGCAAATCAAATAGTTAAGGTATAGATATTATGAGAACATCTGCTAATATATATTATTTTTCGTTTTTTTGTTTTATTAACTCAAAAAGTCTTTCATTCAGTTTTTATATAATTTTTCACAGTTTTTTTTTCAATTATTTAATTTGTTTCTTCACTTTAAGTTAGTCGTTTTAAAGTCTTTTTATAACAGTTTTTTTTTTCAACTTTTATAAATTCACAATTTATTTGCTGGAGTTCATTACAGTTTTATTTAATTGTTTGAGTTTATTTGTTTTATTGTATTTTAATAAATTTTCAATGGATTTTTTCTTTACTTTTATAAAATTTGTCCCAACATTTGGCCTACAGAACTGTGTTATGTAACCGAGCGCACAAACCAAAAAGAAAAAAGTTCTTTTTTTTAAGTCAAGTATACAACGACAGCGACGACGACGTTCTCTTCTTCGATTCCGTTTTGAAAGACCGACCGCCGACCAACCGAACGAACGTTTGAACTAAGTTTTGGTTGAACAACAGAAGGCAGCAGAAAATATTTTTGGGGCTCGCTCCTTAATGGTGGTGGTGTACTAAATAAAGCACGCTCTTATGCTCACACTTTCTCTCACTCACTCTCTCTTTGTTCCCACAGTGATGTATTTGTACTAAAGCTTTCATATCTCCACAAGAGAGAGAGAAAGAGTGTGTGAGAGAAACCCCAAACTCTGTGATAATTTGAGCAAGTAATATGTAGCAAAGAGAGAGATAGTATGTCATTTTCCCTCTGTCTTTCTCTCTTTCCTGCGTGAGTGAGTTTTGTGTGTGTGTTATTTTTTGTCTGTATGTTTTTCATAATTTTCTTTTGTGACATTTCCATTTATTTTATGGTTTCCTTTTTGTAGCAACATTTCTCTATTGGTATCTGTAACAAAGTCCTTTATCATTGTGTGTTGTTGTTGTTATTTTATTATTTCAAGTGGGGGAGGGGATGGCGCTTTTTCGTTTCGGATATGTGTCACTAACTTAGCTCTCCCACTCTCAACCCAGACTTTTGTATTTCAGGCCCTTTGTTTCTTTTAATGTAATAACAATATTTTTTTCTTTCTATAGAAAAAAAATGTTTCTTTTTCGAAATACTAACATTATATAAAATTCTATACAAAACTAATTGAACATTGAAAAATATTATTGTTCATATAAAAGTAATTTTTTCATTTCTTTCCTTTTTCTTTTCTCAAATTTCCACTTTTTCAGTATTTCTTGATTACTATTTCCTCTCTGAGCATTCTTTCGTTTGCTGTTTTTTGTATTAACGACTGTGAATTGTCTAAAGCCGTTTTTTCCGAATGTATGTTTTTGTGGGAATTTCATTTGTCGCCAAATGACCTCAGGGAGTATGGATTTTCTTTTCTATTCGTAGCCATGATTGGATTGAATAACAATTTTGTAGGAAATATTTTTTGGAATTAAAATTCGAATAGGCTTTACATAAAACAAATTGGCAGTAAATTAGTCTTAGTAGGATTTGTTATTAAAAAAACTTACAAAAACATTTTAATTTCAAAAATTTTTAACAAAGTTAAAAAAAAATAAAATTTAAAAATAAATAATCATATGGACGAGTTTCAAAATAAAAATGTCATAGGAAAATAACTGCATATAATTGAAGTAATCGACTGACTGCTGTCTTTCACAATATTTTTCATAACAAACTAATATATACTAATATTTTCCATATACTAATTTTTTAATATTGTAAACTAATATTTTTAAATTCCTACTTCAAACCAAATTCTATTTAAAAAACATTCAAGCCTTAAACATTTTCTATACGCTAAATTGGTGATTTCTATTCGAAAAGTTTACTTGATTGAGTTTTTCATCAGAAAAAGTTAGCTGAATTGAATTTTTCCTTAGAAAAAGTTAGGTGATTGGATTCTTCAACATAAAAAGTTAGCTGAATTTTGTTTTCTATGGAAAAATTTATTTAAATGCAATGTTTCAGTACAAAATGTTAGCTGAATTGCGATTTTTTTGAATTTTTCCATCGGAAAAGTTTGCTGAATTGAGTTTTTTCTGTACAAATGTTAAGTAAATTGATTTCTTCTGTAAAAAAAGTTAGCTGAATTTAGGTTTTCGGCGAAAAAATGTGGCTGAATTGAATGTTTCTATTGAAAAAGTGTGAAAGTTAACTAACATGAATTTGTCTGCACCAAATATTGGCTCAATTAAGTTATCGATATTTAATTTTCCTGTACAAATAGTTTGATATATTTAGGGTTTCTGTAGAAAAACTAAGCTGAATTGAATATTTTTCTGAACTGCATTAGTCTACGAAATCCACTCGATTTCAAAAGTCCATTCAGTAGCATATATGTCTAGTAAATCCTAATGTATTTTATTTGACATATACGCTATGAAACTCACATTTGGAATCGATTGTATATTCTATTCTATTTTTTATTTACTTACCCAATTAGTTGATTCAAATGTTAATGTTATCCACATAAGGACTAGAGGGTGGTCATTATGTCACAATTTCAGATATTGTAATGTGTATAAAAGAATATAAGAAGTGAACAAATATATATTTTCAAAGTGAAGCAGGTCTATTTTGAATGATGAACATTCAAAATAATTAAAATTGATCGGAACTTTTATATAAGGCCTATGTGAAGTTAAAATTTGATATACATACATAGGTACT